GCCAGTTCTGTCAGTTCTGTTCAGCGTGTATCGTGAAGGATGTCCGAGCCACTGGTGCCAGAGGTCGTCAGTTGCGCAAAAGCTAGGTGTGCAGCGATAACGTGCGCGAGCTTCGACGGGGGCTACCTCTAGTGCTTCCGCTGTTGCTTCTGCTTCTGCTGTTGCTTCTGCCTCTGGTGTTGATTCTTTTGATAGTGCGAGTGCTAGGAAGTTGCGGTCGCGGATGTTTGTGAGGGAGATGTCGGTGCCTTCAATGGTGCCTTGCAGTGGATCGGCGGGCTCTGGGCAAGGCCCGTAGGCGTTGCGATATGGTGTTGAGGGTTCAGAGCCCCAATCGATGAAGGTCCAACCATAGCAGAGCGGAACAATAGGTGTAGTTTCTTCTTCTTTCTCCCCCTTTTGTTCTTCTCGAAGTTCTGGTGAGCCCCTTCCGCTGCCTCATGTTCCCCAATCTCCGCTGTGTTGCCCCATCTGCCAGTTATTATTCCCTAGTATCCGCCAGTAGTAGCCCATGTGTCACCGTTGTCTGTTCCCCATCCTTCTTCTTGCGTGCCCCATCCGCCATTGTCACTGGTTCCCCATGAGCTAAGGGCCATGTTTTCGCGAATTTCTTTCTCGCTTTGTCAGCGGAGGTCCTCAGCTTCGACTCGCGCCAGTTCTTCTTCATCTTCTTCGACGCTCAGTCTCTTGTCGGGGTCACGCGACTGAGGAAAAATGGAAATGTAAGTCTTCTTGTCATAAGGTCGCGCTCGTCCTGCTTCGTCGTAGGTGCCACGCGACTCGTTTTACAAGATCCACTGAAGTCTGGCGTGTGCGGAACCGGCGGATGGGGCCTTGGGGGAACCAAAGACGGCGTATGTTGTGGCGGCGAGCTCTAATGTTGACATGCCTTCTTCGGGTGGCGCGAGGCGTCCAGCTTCCTCTATCTCATCTAACCCTTTGTCGACGACGTTAGTTGCCGAGGGTGTGGGGGAACAGCAATCACTGCATATGCCGTTGGTTGTGGCAAGCAGGGTGTTTCTCATTCAACCCAGCTTTGAGGGGGGGACGTGTGTGTCAGAGTAGTAGGCAGAACGAGGAGCCATAGCTAGGGTTTAGCTAGCTAGGCAAGAGAAAATAGGCAAAGAAGGAGGTTCACTAGCAAGCAGGTGGATACATATAGGAAACCCTAAGGGGTCGTACTCACTACAGAGTACCCCACTGCAGGCTAGACAAACTACACATTCTGACACACCCCCATAGTCAAAGTGGGGTATAATCAGCAGAGCAAGCAGTCATAGAGCAGGTTCATAAGTGCAAGCAAAGCTAGAGGCATTCACAACGGGCACGTGAGGAGGAGGAGGCTGGACTGTGAGAGGAGAGGAGATAGGAGGCGACGGCTGAAGCTGCAGACACACGGGCAACAGGAGCGGCGCGCACAGTGGCTACCGGCCGCAGAGCCCCGGACTACAGGAGTAACTGGCTCTGCGGCTAACTCTGAGCGGCAGGAGCAACGGACCCACGGGCGACAGGCGCAGCAGGCTCTCTGAGCTACCAGCAGCAGAGCCCCGGACTACAGGTGCTGCGGACGAGAAGATGGCAGCCTCCGCTCAACCTCCCCCAACTGTCCCACCCCTCTTTCACACACCCCTTGCTGCACCCCTAGCTCCACTCCCACGTCACCCCCCTAGCACCACTCCTTCGGCTCCCACACACCCACCCCCCTCAGCGGCAGCTGCAGCAGTGGGAGACGAGGGAGGAGGAGGAGCAAGGGGAGGAACTCACAACCGCCACCCCCACACCCGCCACCCCCAAACCCTAACGCAGGAGGCACGGGGAGGGAGATGAAGCGGGGCGGCGCGCGCCCCCCAGGGCGCCACGACGGGCGACGGGATGGGGGGGACGCGCGGCCCCCGGGGCGCCTCGACTGGCGACGGGATGGGGAGGACGCGCGGCCCCCGTGGCGCCGCGACGGGACGACGCGAAGGGGGGGGGGACGCGCGGCCCCCGGGGCGCCTCGACGGGCGACGGGATGGGGGGGACGCGCGGCCCCCGTGACGCCACGACGGGCGACGGGAGAGGGCGCCGCGGGGGCCACCCGGGGCATTGCGACGGGCGACGGGAGAGGGCGCCGCGATGGGCGACAGGAGAGGGCGCCACGACGGGCGACGAAACCGCCGCGCGCGCCCGGGGCGCTCGGCGGGCAGAAAACTGCCGCGCGCCACGAGCGCGCGGCGGGATGAAAAAGTGTCGCGCACCCGGGGCGCGCGACCAGCAGAACAGTAGCAGCGGAAGCAGTAAGCGGGCCCACAGGCCAAGAGCGTAACAGCTCTGATTCCATGTCAGAGTAGTAGGCAGAACGAGGAGCCATAGCTAGGGTTTAGCTAGCTAGGCAAGAGAAAATAGGCAAAGAAGGAGGTTCACTAGCAAGCAGGTGGATACATATAGGAAACCCTAAGGGGTCGTACTCACTACAGAGTACCCCACTGCAGGCTAGACAAACTACACATTCTGACAGTGTGAGAGTACGCCGTCCGTTCCTTTTTCTATTTCCTATTACACTTATTTCCTATTTTTGCTGCTTTACTAATTTATTAAAATTATAGCACTGAATAGGACCACGTGCACCGATTTCTAGACTCATCTCGGTTATTCCCGCGTGACTTTTCCGTGCGCGTGATTTAGCGCCGAATGACTCCACCAATTATGTAAGGTTTTGTTTCCGTCGGTTCTGGACCGTCAAAACATTCCCGCAACATCATGGTTACCTATTTTGTACCCTGGATGCATAATCAATTTACTGAACTGCGTTATCGATCCTCACAGTGATGCGCGTGTTGCTGTCGTGCGCTTTGAGCATAACGATACTTTGCGCGCTTGCCCCCAGCCTCTCGTTGTTCGCCACGGTGATGTACGTGACCGTGGGCGTGGGGACGGCGTTTGAGATGTAATGCATTGAACCCACTATGTGTTGTCCGTTGCAGCTGTCTACGTACCAGGTGTTGTGATGGTTGTTGTTGCGAGAGAGCAGGCTGAGGCGCGGAGTGATGATGTGGGTTGTGTTGAACTTCAGAAACCATTCGCGCGTGTTCCAGTCAGTGGGCGCCGGCCTTGGGTCGTAGATGTGCGGAGGGCTCTCGAGTGACATGCCATTCGAGAGATGCGTCAACCCTGAACACTGTGCGACAAGGTGTTTAGGGTTGATGCCTTCCATGGTTGGATGCCATTGCCTATGGGGTTTTGTTTTTTTCTACCCGGGCAGTGAGTTTCCTGGGCGGAGTCGTTTGTTCGTTGAGATGTATCTGTTGTGAATAGCACACGCGTCACGTGCTGCTCACCTTGCCACTCCAACCCCTTCCCCCTCAAAAACGCCCTCGTAACTTTCCTTCCTACCTTCCTAAAGTTACACAACTCCTACAAACCCATTCCAACCACCCAAGCCCCAACCTTTCCTTTTCCAACTCAGCTTCTCCAACCCAAGTCCTCCAACCTCTCTTTAATTACTACCAACTACCATAGCCCTTCCTATTCCAACTCAACCAAATTCCCAACAGCTTTTCATATTCACCTCCAAGCCCCACCATAAAGCGCATGCCTCTTCATAACTTCCCATGTGTTTTTCTTTCCTACGCATCAAATATTATCCAAGCCATCTACCTCCTCCAATAATCCTCTTCCCATGTGCCCTCAAGCACATGCCCTCAAGCACAAGCTGCTGGAGGGCACATGCTTCCTCAATTTCACTTCTACTACAAATGCCCCTTGCTAATACTCATGTTCTATGTCTCCAAACATGATACTCTCATGCAACTCTCTTCCAAGGCTACTATTTATGAGTATGTATCCTTCTTGGATTTATAAGGCTTGTACTCTACTATTTAATATAAGTTTATGCTTACAAAGGCCTCTCTCATTTAGTTCTCAGAGTCAATTTAATCCAAGCTAATAATAGTAATCCAAGCTAAGAATAGTTTCACCTTATACTCATCTTGAGTATTGGGCTCTTCAGCAACATACAAGCTTGTGGAAGGTTCACCATCCAACACCAAGCTTGATGTTCTCCTTCAAGCTAAGCTTCCAAGACAAGCTCTCCTTCCAAGTAAGTTTCTCTCAAGTAAGTACTAACCTTCTCATTCTCTCTCTAAGTTCACATATCTCCTCAAGTATTCTTCCTAACACTTGTTTCTCTTTAAAGTCTCCAAGTTTAATCTTCATCTTCTCTCCTCTCAAGCATATTATTATTTCATCTACTTGTGCTACAGTTCCACTGTTGCATCCTTGTCTTATTCTAGTGTGCAATCATAACCGTTTGTCCTTATCTCAATTCTCAATAGTATCATCCTAAAAGTTGAGCATCTCAACTTCTATACCTCCAAATCTCAGGGTGTGTGATGGATCAAAACGGAAAATGCTAAGGGTACCTCATGAACCAAAAGTCGATCCGGTGTCAAGCTTCGGGAGCCATACTGTACACCCCACCAAGGAGGTCTGACACTGGCCAGAAAACATTACGAGGGTGTTTGAGGGGAAGGGTTGGAGTGGTGGTGAGTGAGTGTGCCATTCGCATCAGTACGCACGCATGTCCTTCCTCCACTAACGACCTTCAGGATTATCGCACACGAGGGCGCTGCGGCGGAACCTCCTAACGGCGGCGCTTTCGCACCGTTAATCACGCAGGCCGAACCTGAACAAAGGAGACGAAATGTCGTGTGCTTAGATTTGAAGGCTTGGGGTAGGCTCAAAGATTCCACATTGGCTAGAATCTTCTCTCACAGAGCGGACCATTCCAAAATAGCGGCGCATCGTCCGATTGGCGCTTCGTCAACGCACTCAAGTAGCGGCGCGTGCCTCGTGTCCACGAAGCACACCGCATGTCCACGTGTGCCTCGCCTGCGCTGCCCTCTCGCGTCCCGCGATAGTGCTTTCAGGATTTACCTTCAGGAGAAGGAAGGGAAGGACGAACAGCGACGCAACCCCCTTTTTCGTCTCTCTTCCCCCGCCCTCCTTGGCGACCAATCGCCATGTCTGCCGGTCGCCCGCGCGCCACCCCGTCCGTCTGCGCCGACCTGCCCCCGCTCCCCTCCGCCTCCTTCGCGCTCTTCGCCAAGACACCCGCGCTCTTCCCCCCGCGCCCTCCGCACGCCCTCAGATCCCGCGCTGCGCGCGTCGCCATCTCCGCGCTGGCCGCTGTGGCGCTCGCCCTCGCCGCGCTATGCCTCCTCCGCGGGTCCTCACCAGCGCCTCTCTCCCCGTCCCCTTCCGCCGCGTCCGCGCACCTTCTGCTCGCCAGCGAACAGCCCGCCGCTCCCTCCGCGCGCGGATCCCCCGCGCGCTTCATCCTCTACCGCATGATCGGGAACGACATGCCGCCGCTGCAGTGCGACGGGCAGCTGTACCTGAACACTTTATACGCGTTACAGCACGAGCCCAAGGACCTGCCGGAGCTGCGGCGCGTGTGGGTGATGAACAAGATGCTGAACGACTCGGAGGAGGCGCGAATCACGGCCGCCATTCTCGCCCACGGGTATCCCGAGGAGGTGCGCGCGGGGCATCGGCATGTGGTATTGCTCGTTGATCGCTCGTTCCCGCGGGGCATATGGAATGGAATGCGGGTTAGACTCTTTCGGGCTGTGGTCAGCTCACTGCTCAATGCTCCTCCCGCTTTTCCCCTCTCCTTCTCCCTCCCGCTCTCTCCTACTCTCCCCTCTCGTCCATGGCTTGCCAACAGGACATCATGAGGATCCCTGTGAACTACACAGAGCTGGCCGCCATGCCCGAGAACCTCTGGTCCACTGGTATCACAGGTGCGCTGCCCCTGGGGAGCACGGGCGCACATGGGGGGGCGCACATGGGGGGGTGGGGGTGGACATGGGGGGGCTCACATGGGGGGGTGGGGGGTGCACATGGGGGAGGGGGGTGCACATGGGGAGGATGGGGGGGATTTGCACATGGGGGAAGGGGGGTGCACATTGGGGGGAGGGGGGTGCACATGGGGAGGATGGGGGGGATTTGCACATGGGGGAAGGGGGGTGCACATTGGGGGGAGGGGGGTGCACATGGGGAGGATGGGGGGGATTTGCACATGGGGGAAGGGGGGTGCACATTGGGGGGAGGGGGGTGCACATGGGGAATGTGCACATGGGGAATGTGCACATGGGGAATGTGCACATGGGGAATGTGCACATGGGGAATGTGCACATGGGGAATGTGCACATGGGGAATGTGCACATGGGGAATGTGCACATGGGGAATGTGCACATGGGGAATGTGCACATGCTGTTGTTGTGGCGTGGTTGGCTCACACCTCATGCCCCACACCTCATGCCCCACACCTCATGCCCCACACCTCATGCCCCACACCTCATGCCCCACACCTCATGCCCCACACCTCATGCCCCACACCTCATGCCCCACACCTCATGCCCCACACCTCATGCCCCACACCTCATGCCCCACACCTCATGCCCCACACCTCATGCCCCACACCTCATGCCCCACACCTCATGCCCCACACCTCATGCCCCACACCTCATGCCCCACACCTCATGCCCCACACCTCATGCCCCACACCTCATGCCCCACACCTCATGCCCCACACCTCATGCCCCACACCTCATGCCCCACACCTCATGCCCCACACCTCATGCCCCACACCTCATGCCCCACACCTCATGCCCCACACCTCATGCCCCACACCTCATGCCCCACACCTCATGCCCCACACCTCATGCCCCACACCTCATGCCCCACACCTCATGCCCCACACCTCATGCCCCACACCTCATGCCCCACACCTCATGCCCCACACCTCATGCCCCACACCTCATGCCCCACACCTCATGCCCCCACACCTCATGCCCCACACCTCATGCCCCACACCTCATGCCCCACACCTCATGCCCCACACCTCATGCCCCACACCTCATGCCCCACACCTCATGCCCCACACCTCATGCCCCACACCTCATGCCCCACACCTCATGCCCCACACCTCATGCCCCACACCTCATGCCCCACACCTCATGCCCCACACCTCATGCCCCACACCTCATGCCCCACACCTCATGCCCCACACCTCATGCCCCACACCTCATGCCCCACACCTCATGCCCCACACCTCATGCCCCACACCTCATGCCCCACACCTCATGCCCCACACCTCATGCCCCACACCTCATGCCCCACACCTCATGCCCCACACCTCATGCCCCACACCTCATGCCCCACACCTCATGCCCCACACCTCATGCCCCACACCTCATGCCCCACACCTCATGCCCCACACCTCATGCCCCACACCTCATGCCCCACACCTCATGCCCCACACCTCATGCCCCACACCTCATGCCCCACACCTCATGCCCCACACCTCATGCCCCACACCTCATGCCCCACACCTCATGCCCCACACCTCATGCCCCACACCTCATGCCCCACACCTCATGCCCCACACCTCATGCCCCACACCTCATGCCCCACACCTCATGCCCCACACCTCATGCCCCACACCTCATGCCCCACACCTCATGCCCCACACCTCATGCCCCACACCTCATGCCCCACACCTCATGCCCCACACCTCATGCCCCACACCTCATGCCCCACACCTCATGCCCCACACCTCATGCCCCACACCTCATGCCCCACACCTCATGCCCCACACCTCATGCCCCACACCTCATGCCCCACACCTCATGCCCCACACCTCATGCCCCACACCTCATGCCCCACACCTCATGCCCCACACCTCATGCCCCACACCTCATGCCCCACACCTCATGCCCCACACCTCATGCCCCACACCTCATGCCCCACACCTCATGCCCCACACCTCATGCCCCACACCTCATGCCCCACACCTCATGCCCCACACCTCATGCCCCACACCTCATGCCCCACACCTCATGCCCCACACTCCATGCCCCACCCCACGCGCCCCACGCGTCACGGCCTTGAACCCCTTTGATCATGCTTGTGCAGCGATGAACGAGGCGCGGCTTGTGATGATGAATCACGGCATAGCGAACGGGGCGCGGTGGATCCTGCCGCTGGACGGAAACCACTTCCTCACTCGCGAGGTGTGGACGTACCTTGCTGCTGCCGCTGACCGGCACGAGGCCCACGGCAAGACTGCGTTCAAAGTGAGTGTGATGTGAACCGCGGTGGGGAGACGAGCGCACGTGACGAGGACACGTGATGTGCACACTTGACATACACACCTCGCTTGTTGTCCACGATATTGTTGCAACGATTCATTTCCTAGTGGTTCCTTCTATGCTCAACTCTGCCCGCTCCCTCCCGCTGCTACCTCTGGCAGTATGAGCTAATCTTCCTTGGAGCTTTCTCTATCCAACAAGCACTGCCCCCTTACCCCACTCCCCCCCACCCACCCCTGCAGATTCCAGTGGTGAAGATCGACGGCCCACAGAGCACTGAGTGGATCAACGGCAGCACGCTGTACAGCGACCTCTTCCCCCACGCGCCCACGCTGCAGGAGGGCATGATAGGCTTCCGCAACGACTCCCCGCACCGCTACCAACCAGGTGCCCGGCTCCCCACCCACGCGTGCTTCTCCTTCCTTGTGTGCCTTCCCGCCCTGCTGCTCCTTCTCTTGGGTGTGTATGCGAGTATGGCTGGCTCTGCCCAGAGCGCCTGTTGCATGCAGCTGAGCCATCCGTTTCTTGCCTTTTCCGTTGGATTGTTTTCGCAATATGCCCATGGCGCCAACTCCTTCATGCACCTCCACCTCCGTCGCCTTCATGCACCACTTGGCATTCCAAGCCCGATGACATAGCACCTCCTTGCTCAATCATTTCCTGCCTCGCGTTTCGTCCTGAATCCGGATCCACCTTCCACAGGGCTGGGATTCGGCAGGAGGAACAAGCTAGAAGCCATCAACCGCATCTGTGGCACAGGCGAGGACTACACTCCCCTGCAGATCATGCACCGGATGGGCCTAGTCCAGCTCTTCTACCCAGACTTCACCCCCCAGCTTGCAGACACAGGCGAGTGCGGCTGCCAGAGGGAAACCGGCAGTGAGGCCAAGCCGAGACCCATGCGCATGTCTGTGCTGCATTCGTGTGGGCTGTCCATTCGCCTGTGGTACTACCCATGCCCGGAGGTGGATGGTGCGAGGATCATGCGCGATGGGTGGTACCGCTTCAAGCAACGGCAAAAGGCGCGGTTTATTCTGCTTGACCGTATCCGAGAACGGATCAAGCAATTTACGGCAGAGCAGTCAGGTTAGATAGGACTGGTTTCCAAGACAGCATATTGTGTGGTGTTAAGATCCTACCTCCTTGTACACGCGCCTTTGTGTGACAACTTTGAGGCATTGCGTTTCTGGAATAAAATGGAAGAACACAGCTTCCCCACATCCCCATTCTTGTTTTGAGTGTTAGCATTACCTTAGCTTGTTATCACATACCTAGTAGCAGCATTAGCATGTTGTATTTTATATGCTGTTTGTAACAGTGTGTCGTTCCGCGTCAAATTAGAGATATTCAGGTTAGCAGGTGTTCTTAGGTGGTGACTGCGAATGGCGGTGAGCCTACGAATTCACTCGCTGGCACGGGCCGTCGTATTGTTCGCTTCATTTGAAAGTCACCCCTAAAACAAACTACACCCATCAATACGTATATCATTTGAATTGAGGAACACACTCTCCACAAGAACTTCAAACGTTCTTAAACAATGCAATGCAACCTCGTAAGCTTCGAAAGGGGTGTTTAAAATCTGCAGAACAGTGAAAGCTTGAAGGACCGGGAGGTGGTACCTCAGGTCAGGACTCACAGGGTGTCTTTCGACATTTGATTCTCCAACTGCGACCATCAAGTGTTTGGAAGAAAATGATTATTCCAGCCAATGGCTCTTTGGCCGCCACCAGACCAGACCCCCAAGCCATGTTCGGTTCGGTGCCTGCGGCGAGCCGCCGGTTCTGGTCCTTGTCTGTAGGTGAAGCTGCCGAGGTGAATCAAGGAGGGCCGTCAGCCAGTCATTATACCGTAATGTAACGTGCTGTATGCTTTGTAGTTCTAGTATATCGTACTGAACCCTCCCGTGTATTCTCGCTACAATTTCATGCCTCCCAACAACAAAATCACACACAGTGCACGCAAACCGCGTGACTGCCTTGGGATGGACAGATGCGACAAAACATCCACAAGCTAGCTATCGGACGAAGCTTAGGTTTGACGGAGCGGAAGCGCCGCCGAAGCGCAAACTTCAAGTGAGGTGCTTGGGGAGTTCACCGTCAGTCGCACCTGCCCACGAGGCTCGGGAAGGAACGTGGTCCTCCCTTCCCTTCACAACCAACAGGAAATTGTGTGAGGTGAGGAGTTGAGAACAAAACCAAGACTGCCTATGCTGTGTGAGCCAAGCAAACCCATTCCACAAATCACTCTCCCTCTCGTGATTTCACCCAAATTCCGCACGTCATTATCTCGCTTCCCAGCAACGATAGAATTAGCATATCGCCCAGGGCAAGAAGGGTACGTGGAACTGAAGACGCGTTGCTCCGCAGTTGACGATCGCCATGGCCGCAAAATGGCTTCCCACGAACAGCTCGTCGACCAAGTTCCCGTCGAGTCTAGAAGACTTAGAGAAGCTTAGAAGCAGTTCATTCGTGCAGCAAATGGCTCGCAGCATGACCTTCGTTCAGTGCCTCTGCTGCACCGTCTTTCTAATAGTCATGGTCGTCGGGATGTCTACTCGAGGAGCATCGCGCGCATCAGTCCCAGCAACGTCTCTCTCTACAGGCACGCAAGGCGCCACATGGGGCGGGGACGAATGGGAGGACCGCATCCGACTCTCCGCCGTCCCGCACGAGGGCGGCATGGTGGTGCTTGTAACGGGCGCCGCTGGATTCGTGGGCTCGCACACGTCGCTGGCTCTTAAAGAACGAGGCGACGGCGTGATTGGCCTGGATAACTTCAACGACTACTATCCCGTGGCGCTAAAGCGCGCCAGAGAGGAGCGGTTGCTATCCAACGGAGTCTTCGTCGTCGAAGGCGACATCAACGATCAACAGCTCCTCTCCAAGCTCTTCGAGATCGTACGGTTCACGCACGTGCTCCACCTCGCCGCGCAAGCCGGCGTGCGATACGCCGTGCACAACCCCTTGGCCTTCGTCCAAAGCAACGTCCTGGGCTTCGTGAATATGCTTGAAGCCGTACGAAAGGCGGATCATCAACCCGCCATCGTGTACGCGTCCTCGAGCAGCGTCTACGGTCTCAATAAAAAAGTCCCGTTTTCGGAAAGCGACCGCACGGATCGCCCGGCTAGCTTATACGCGGCGACGAAGAAAGCGGATGAAATGCTCGGGCACACATACAACCACATCTACGGCCTCTCCATCACCGCGCTGCGCTTCTTCACCGTGTACGGCCCGTGGGGCCGGCCCGACATGGCGTACTTTTCCTTCACGCGAAACATCGCGGAAGGAAAGCCGATTAAGATCTTCCGCGGGCCCAACGGGCAAGAGCTGGCGCGCGATTTCACGTTCATTGACGATGTGGTGAAGGGGTGCGTTGCCGCCCTAGATACTGCCACGCCCAGCGTGGGCGTGGTCACGCAAGGGAAGAAGCGCCGAGCACAGTTCCGGGTGTTCAACCTCGGGAACACTCAGCCGGTTAAGGTGACGGATTTCGTCAAGCTCCTGGAGAAGCACCTTGAGACTCGCGCGATTAGGGATGTGGTTCCCATGCCCAGCAGCGGCGAGGTGCTGTTTACACACGCGAACGTCACACGCGCTGAGAACGAGCTCGGTTACAGTCCGTCTACAGATCTAGACGAGGGGTTACAAAAGTTCGTACAGTGGTACAAGTCGTATTACCAAAAAGGTGGCAGCAACGAGCGGATGCTGATCGGGTATCGACCATACTGAAGCCGAGAGCGCGTGCATAGGAGGACGGATCCAAGATGGATAAATCTGAGCAAGTGGGGCGGGAGGTGGGCATAGGGAGTTACCAAGGTTTGACGCCAGTCACTACTCCGGAGACAGTATTCCAGCTTCCCTGCCTGGTTGACCAGTCACAACTGCACCCAGACTGATAAAGCAGTCCAGTGCACCAGGTTGTGCTGTGAGCCATGATAGAGCTAATACATGGGGGGACTGCCTGACAGCAGTACTAGGGAAGGATGTGTTGTTCTGCTGCTGGGAACCTCCTTTATGAGCCCGGAACTCTAGTTTCCGATCTCACATGCCCTCATGCCTTCTTATGAGTTGTACAAAAGGTTGCGGAATCAAAGAATGAATCTGTGATTACCACAGCTCCCTGTCATTTACAAGTGAAGGCAAGATTATGGCAAGGAGTGCTAACTACCATAAGTGGGGTTATAAGCCCGAAAGCGAGGAGAAGCACCCCACCCCACCCCTAAGTTGGGGTGTATTTGCATATGCCCTTGTGGATATGTTGGAAGCACTTGTCAAATGTTAATGTTATGATAGGCTGCAGTGAGGCACTCCCTAGAGGGTACAACATTTGTAGGACTCCTATTTGTATGCTTGCAAACCCTAATCCCAATCATTCCGTTGCATGTAGATTCTGAGATGGTATCACGAGTAGGTATCGATCCTCCCTCCCCGCCCTAGCCGGCGCGCCCTCCGTTCCGCGCCCTCGCGCCCTCCGTAGCGCCTAGCGCCCTCCGCGCCCTCCGTCACGCCTAGCGCCCTCCGCGCCCTCCGCGCTCCTAGCGCCCTCGCGCCCCTTAGCGCGGCCCTCAGCCCGCCCAACGTCGCGCCCCTTAGTGCGCCCCTCGGCCCGCCCCTCCGTGCCCTCCGCGCCCTCCGCACGTTCGTGCCCTCCGCGCCCTCCGTACGTTAGTACCCTCCGCGCCCTCCACGCCCTCACCGCGCGCCTAGCCCGGCCCCTCCCACTGTCGCTGTCAGAATGTGATGTTTGTCTAGCCTGCAGTGGGGTACTCTATAGCGAGTACAGCCCAATTAGGGTTTCCTATATGTATCTCAACTGCTGCTAGTGAAAACTCCTCTTTCCTGTTTATCGTTTTAGCCTGCTATTCTGACATGGTTTCAGAGCAGGTCGATCCCCTTGGGTCGATCCTGTGGGTGGGCCCGCCACCTAACTGCTTCCGCTGCTGTTCTGCTTCTCGCGCGCCTCGGGCGCGCGCCGTCTTCTTCCTGCCGCGCGCGGAGCGTTTCTGCCGTGCGCTCGGGGCGCGCGGCGCGTTTCTGCCCGCCGTGCGCCCCGAGGCGCGCGGCGGTTTTCTGCCGTGGGGGACCCGCGCGCAACACCCCGCCCTTCCCGTCGCGTCGCCCTGCAGGCCGCGCGCGGGTCTGCAGCGCGCGTGCGGCCCGTCTGCCCGTCGCGCGGCCTTGGGGAGCAGCGCGCGGCCCCCGCCCTTCCCGTAGCGTCGCCCTGCAGGTCGCGCGCGGGTCTGCAGGGCGCGCGCGGCCCGTCTGCCCGTCGCGCGGCCTTGGGGAGCCGCGCGCGCCCCCCCCGCCCGTCCGTCGCGGCGCCCTGGGGAGCCGCGCGCGCCCCCCCCGCCCGTCCGTCTTGGCGTCCTGGGGAGGAGCGCGCGGCCCCTCCTGTCCCGTTCCCCCCCCCCCCCCCCCGTGCTGCCCATTCCTCCCGTGCCGCCGTGCGTTCCGTGGTGGTGGGGGGTGTGGGGTGGCAAGCATGGGGGTGCGCGGTGTGGATGTTCCCCTCTTCCTTGTTCGTCTCCCACTGCTGCAGCTGCTGCTGAGGGGGGTGGAGGTGTGGGAGCCGCGGGGAGTGGAGCTGGGGGGGTGACGTAGAATCGGGGGCACAGCCAACCGTACAGCGACAGTTCCGACTGACACAGCCCGAGCTCGACTAACTGAGGAAGCAGCTAGATTATCCACTAGAGAAAAAAAGCATCTGACGGAGTTCATCGCCATTTGCCGCACTGATACTGTTCACGCCGAAAAAAGACGGAGGATTTTGCATGTGCATCGACTACCGTGCACTGAACAGGGTAACTATCAATTCGCGATACCCCATCCCCCGCGCCGACGAACTGATCGATCTGCTGCGAACAGCTGGGTTTTCTTCGCAAATCGACTTACGCAGTGGTTACCACCGAATTCGAGTCGAACCAACAGACTTCGCCAAGACAGCATTTATGACTAGGTACGGGTCTTTCGAGTACACGATAATGCCATTCCGGCTGCCCAACACACCCGCGACATTTCAGATGACGATGAACGAGGCGTTTAGGCCGCTTTTAGATAAATGCGTCATCGCGTACCTCGACGACGTCCTAGTTTACAGTCGGGACAAGCAGCAGCAGTTAGCAGACTTGGAAGCAGTATTTAAAATATTAGACGTGTCAGGAGAATGAACGAGGAATAAATTGACTAACAGCAGGATGGGTACAAGTACTAACCCTAATTGGGTTGTACCCCATATGGGCTACCCCACTATAGCCTACACAAAGTACAGCACATAAGTTTGACACACCCCCATAGGCAAAGTGGGGGAGAACAAGAGGTCACAAGACCGGTCAAGAAAAGCAAAGCAAGCTCAGGGTGGATCACGACGTCACCACGCATTCTGAGCACAAGCAAATGGCCACAAGGCCAGTTCACATGCAGATTTATATAATAGAGAGCAAGCAGTACAGTGATCACAACCTAGCAAGTGTAAGCATGCATGTATATGTATATAGATCACAGTACAAGCAAAGTCAAGAAGTGAGCAAGTGAGGCCAAGTAGGCACAAGGCCTAGAACAGTACAGAAACGCTGATGTGCCTTGGTGAAGATATCAGCAGTGCTGGCCTGAGAGGCCACGTAAACAAGGCGAAGCTGACCACGATGCTGCAACTCTCGAGCAAGGAAGTAGCGCAGAGCGATGTGCTTCGTTCTGTGCTCCAGTCTGTGCTCCTGACACAAGGCAATCATGGCCTTGTTATCGACGTACAGAACTGGAGGAGAATGAGGCGGCTCTCCCAAGTCAGTCAGCAGGTAGGTGAGCCAGCGTAACTCCTGTGCAGCCATGGCCCATGCGTAGATCTCAGCCTCACAACTGGAGCTCAGAACAGAGGACGAGCGGGTAGACCGCCACGAAACAGAGCCGGAGCCAAGGCTGAAGGTGTAACCCTGTGACGACCGCTGCGTAGCCAATTCGTCAACCCAAGAAGCGTCTGCGTGACCAGTGAGGACAACTCGAGCCCGTCCTCCAAGCACGAGCCCCATGCCCGATGTACTGCACAAGTAGCGCATCACCCTCTTAGCGGCCTTCCAGTACTCTGGTCGGTGTCTCCCGGGCGCAACGTAGCGAGCCAGGATGCTAAGAGGGTAAGCAAGGTCAGGTCGAGTGCAGGTCATCAGGTACATGAGGCAGCCCACAAGCTCTGGATACGGGCCACTCGGCTCTACGGACTCATCCGAAGGCAGAGCTGAGAGCGAGTGACTGGTGGGCAGAGGAGTGGACTGAGGCGAGGAGTACTCGAAGCGGAAGCACTAAAGGACCTGCTGCACCATGTGTGACTGAGTCAAGGTAATGGTGCGCCGTGCTCTGTCCCGGGTGATCTGCAAGCCAAGATAGCTGCGCAGCTCACCCAGGTCTGTGCACGTGTGTCTCTTCTGCAGCTCCGACTTCACGTGGGCCAGTCCAGCAGTGTCAGCAGTGGCAAAGACCAAGTCGTCGGCGTACACGAGGATCTAGAACGGCGGCAGCGAAGTGTCGGTGCGTAGATACAGCGACGGGTCAGCAGTCGAAGTAGCAAACCCAAGAGACGCAAGCGTCGTCCTCAGTGTGTCGTGCCACTCGCGAGGCGCCTGGCGGAGACCGTAGACTGGCCGCCGGAGGCTCCACTAGGTACCTGCAGGAAACGACCCAGTGAAGCCAGGTGGGCGGCGCAGCCAGATCTCCTCGTGCAGGCTGCCCTGTAGGAAAGCAGTGCTGAAGTTAAGAGAGTGAAGCTCGTAGTCACGCTGAGCGGCGACGTGCAGCAGAACACGAAGAATGGTCATCTTCGGGGTAGGGGAGAAGGTCTGGAAGAAGTCAACTCCCTGTCGCTGACTGAAGCCTCGTGCAACGTAACGCGCCTTGAAGACAGGCGGAGAACCCGGCGGCCGCTTCACCCTGAAAATTCACATGCCACTGACGATGTTCGCCCCAGGTGGGGGAACCTTGTCGACGTAAGTGCCTGTGGACTTCCAGGAAGCCATCTCTGCGGCCATGGCTGTCTGCCACTCAGAGGAGTAGGGACCCGTAATCGCCTCTGCGTAAGAGCGTGGGGTCGGGATGTCTGGTGCATCCGGGTCTCCCTCATGTGCAATCAGCATGGACATGAGATGAGGTAAAGCAGCTGCAAAACACTCAAAGTCCTCCTGCCTGTCCTCAAGGACGTCCGTGCCAAGAGCACACTCACCCTCGACGGACGGAGGACAGACAGACTCAGACTCAGCAACAAGACTAGCGGCGTAGTCTAGACGATAGGCGGCAGCAAAGTCAACAAGCTCAGCAACTAGGGCAGACGTAGCAGTGGACTCAAACGAAGGGTCGGTGACAGCAGTAGCTAGAGGACGTGTGACAGTAGGACTGGCAGCACGAGTAAGGTCTGACGGCGGGCCAGGGACGTGAGGAAGAGAGGACGCAGGAGGAGACGGCAGAGGGACACGCAGTGGAACAGAGGAAGGACGAAGTGCCATCTGGTGCGTGCCGGGGACAGGAGGAGGACGCTGACGCGGAATACGACGACCAGTGCGAACAGCGCGAACAGGCGTCGCAGGACGAGACTCAGGCTCACGACGCTCCGCAAGACCTCCGGTCGGCCCAGTGTAAGGAGAAGGAGCAGGCAGTGGGGAGGCTGGCTGTAACTGCAATTGCGACTGGTCAGGTGGTGGACACAGTAAGGGAGGAGTAGGGCCAGTAGAAGGTGGGAGACCAAGAACCTG